GCTTGTTTTCATTCTTTGATAACTGGCGTGGTGCCTTTAACTTTTAGAACTAGAGGTACCGTGCATGCTGTAACTTGCTATTAGGATCACGCAAGAGTATTACAGTCCTATTTGAAATATACAGAGGCAGTCATATGAAGGGTGAGCGCTATTTTTCATGCTAAGCATCTGTTTAGTTAAGATATCTCCTTTCTTCTTGTCTTCCAGAGGCTTTTCCTTGTGTCACTTCCACTCAACTGTTCTAATCAGTCATTTCAGAGCTTAATGCTGCTTTGTTTAGTGCAGTATCACCAGGTGTGAGAAGCCCTCAGTTTTCTTTGTTTGGTGTTAAGAAACAAGACACTTCTCTGATAGTGTTTCTACATATTTTAGGAGGCAATAAGATTTTCTTTTCCTCAGTCTGCCTGGCACAAAAGTCTGTTTCTTGTCAGCTGACTGGCTGATTTCACTCTCAAGCCAGCTCTTTCATTTCATAGCATTTTTCTTCGTAGCTTGAAAACCAGCAGGAACACTGGCTGGCACTTAACTGATGTTCTGGCAACTGTCACTGCACAGATCCAGACCTTCTGATTGAATGATTGATGCATTAATCCCCTGTTCAGAATTAAAGTCCAATAAAGATTGAAAAGATCTGTGAGTAGTCAGAAATGTAGGGAGCTTTTAAAAGTGAGTGTTTTTCAATTAGAGAGGATGGAAGAATACTTCCTGTAAACTTCTTGTCTTATATATTTAAAAAGTTTATAGCGTGCTGTAAATACTACTTGTGTGTTTAGTTCAATTATAATTATTCATCCTCATTAAATATAACAAGCTAGTTGTAGTTGGTTCGTTTGTTTGTTGGGGTTTGTTGGGGTTTTTTTTTGCATTGTTTGGTCTTAACCTCTGCAATGGAGTAATGTGAGATAACTATGTGAAATCTCTTTTACACAGCTCTAAGTAGTTCCTCTTCTGATGACAGCGATGAAGGAACAGATGAAGAAATAAAAAGTGAGGAAAGTGACATAGAAGAGAGGACAGAAATGGTATATTCATGAGCTTCTTAACTTAATAGAATTTAAACATCTCTATTTGAAACTCTGGAAAAATTGAAGTAGATGAAATATAGGCCACAGCTGATTATTTAGCTGGTATTTAGCTGGAATTAAAAGCATAATATTCTTACTCCTGGTGCTTACTGTGGTTGAGTTTTTGAAAATTGTAGATGATGTCATATTCTTGTAGAATTCTTTGATACTAATCTAAAAATGCACATTTGTTTCTTTTCCTCTCTTTCTCCAAATAAGGCTTATGTGGAGAAAACAGCAAACTAGATTATCCAGATTTGTGGGTGCAGTAAAACTTTACTGGTCAATGCAGGTTGGACAAATCCCAATAGCAGCAGGATCTTTCTGGCTTTTGTATTCTACTGTGAAACAGGCATGTCAACTCTGGTCTTAAAATGTAGAAGACTGACTTCAAGAAAAAACATTTATTTTCTCTAAATTACTGAAAAGAAAGTACGGTGTAAACAGTTGTCTTGAAGGTCTGTGGAATCTTATCTGCTACAGTGTGGGTGATCTGAAACAGCAAAGCCTGACAAATTTCTGTCTGTTCTTTTCAGTTAAATACTTAAGTGAATGCTAAATTAAAAAAAAAAAAGTTTTTAAAAATGAATTCACAGATGACTTCAAAGAAGTATTGTTAGTCGCTTACAGTAGGCTACTATTCACCTAAATATTTGCTATACTTTATATATTGTATTTTGGCATGACAAAACTTGATTGTTATATTGTATCCTGACTACTGAAGTTTTTTTTAACTAATATTCATAAGCGCAACCAATATATTGTTTCTTTCACTGGTCTGTTGTAGAAAGAAGAACAAGACACTCACACAAAAAGGGACATGGAAGAAAGAGCAATAAGCATAGAAATTCCTGAGGTCTTGAAAAAGAAGCTTGAGGAAGACTGTTACTATATTAATAGAAGAAAACGGGTATGAAATAAAAGCTGTGGAATGAATGTGCATGGGAGGGTGGGAAGGGCATCAAAAGTGGTTCTTACGTATAACGGCTCCTTTATTGCAAAGGTGAGCTTAGACAAGACAAGGAAGAATGGAGAGAGTGTAGGGAGCAGACTTCCCTACAGCTAAAAAAGGGAGTTGTCATTATACTTAAGAATATAACAGTTCAATACCCAACAGTGTTTTAGAGTGCAGATTGTTTTTTAAAGCTAGAAAGGTAGTAAGCTTGTTAACCTGACCAGGTTTTTGTTTCTCCAGATGTTTATAAAGGATTAATAAAAAATGCAGTTTAAGGGTTCAAATTAATCACTATTGAAATAACTTCCTGCAGTAGAGACTGATTAAACCTAGTCAGTACATTACAAGCTACTGTTTTAGCTTGGTATACTAACTGATTACTGGTTTTGTAAGTCATTAATTATTTGTTTCTTTTTCAGCTAGTGAAGCTTCCTTGTCAGACAAATATAATAACCATCCTGGAGTCATATGTGAAACATTTTGCTATTAATGCTGCTTTTTCAGCCAATGAAAGATCTCGACACCATCAGATGACTCCACATGCTAATATGAATCTTCATTATGTGCCGCCAGAGAAGAAGTAGGTAATCTTTAGTAACAGTAGCAGTGGGCAAGAAGAATGAAAGAATGACCTTTCATTCCGTGTTCTGTTTCAAGGCTGTTCTCTTCTGTGAGCTTATACTGTGATGTATATCTGTTTATGGGGCTTAAAATATTTGACAGATACCTACAGTACAGTAACACTGACAATTTGTTTATCAATGAGAGAGCCCCTGTAATCTGAAAAGTCATTATGCAAAAGCATCAATATCCTGTTTCATCATGTGAGTTCTTGTGGATATTGTGACCTGTTTGGAAAGAATGTGTTGCTATTGTCTATGTGAAGAATTTTTTGAGCACTGAGAGAGTATCTAATACGAGAATTCCCTGCTTAAATAAATTTATGAAAGATAAAATTTTATACAACGCTTATAGAGAACTCCAAGTGCAGGTGATTTTTTTTTTTTTTTTTTTTTTACAATTGAGTTCAAATACCACAAACCAGCTGAGATTTTTGAAACAATATGTGTACTAACACTGATCCTGTTTTGTAAAATTAATTGTGTCTTAGTTGCTGTTTTCTCAGCTGAGCTGTGTGTTCTTCTACCATGCTACAAATATAGTGTGTTAACCCTGCGTGTTTGCAGTGTATTAGTGGGTTTTTTTCTTTTACGCTAAAGATTCTGAATATTAGATGAGACTGCTTCTTTATCTAAGTCTACACTGGGGTGAAATCTTGTATTTTATCAAAAAGAAATCTTGACTTTTGTTACTACATTCTATTTCAATGGTGTATAGTTACGCTTTTCCTTGCAATATTTTGTTCTATATGAGTGTCTTAGTTTATATTGATGTCATTCATTATTTGACAGATAAATGATACTTTCTTTTGTATTATAACCTCCCAAACACGGAGTTACATGAGACATCAGAAATATGAACAAAAGGTTGCACGTACTTTATGATTTTTAAAGGTGTATGTTTAAGTGACTTGCTCAATGAAGAAGATGCTTCAGTAAGGAAAATGTGTATAATTTCAGTTATTCATTAAGTAGGAGAGATTCAGCTGGCAACTTTATTGTATTGCCCTTACTGCTCTAACACAGAAGGTAATTGACATCTTGGATGTGATAGAATTTCTGTACATGATGGTTTCCTGATCCAATTTATATATAGCGGGTTTTTGTTTTTTCTTTTTTTAAAAAAAGGCAGTACTTATAGCAGGTGATATGAAATGGTAATAGGAGGTATGGAATTTCTAACGTGGGTCATTGTGACAGAATCAAATTACTGTTACCATACACATATACGCACTTGAGATGTGAGAGATGAATACCTTCATAGAGGTGAGGGGTGTTGGAGGTGGGCTGGACTCAGTGTTCTTGGTTCTGCTTGTAACAGCACATCTACTCACCACCTAGCACTGTGAGTCTTTAACACAAGCCCAAATCTGGAATTCGTAGTAGCTTCTAAATTTAGTGCTTTGATTACCAGGAGCAGGCCATTGGAGACTGATCTACAGTGCAAATGTGTGTGTTTTTGTTGGTTTACTGGGTATCTCTTAAGCACAGCCTTAAGCACATCTTAGTGGCTATATATCAAATCCTGCATATGCCTTTTAGACAGAGATTCCATCTATTGAGTACTTTCTTTTTCTGGCAGGTGCCTCTTTTTTGAGCATAGTATACTTGGAAAACAAAATAATGCTTACATGAAAAACTAACTAACTTTATTTACTGTAAAGTAGATTTTATTAATCCAGTAAGTAGTAATGCAACAGAACAATGGTATGATATTGTTTGACCTTATTAACAAACTTTTAAGATTTGTATTTGTCTAAAGTTACCAACAGCAATCACTGTCTCTTTAAGTATGGTTTTAATCACTTGTCATTACTTAGTGATGAAGTCAGCGTATTATATTTAGGACGTTAATGATCTGTATTAAAAGGGAATTTCTTACAACTACACTGAAAAATTTTGACATGCAACTGGGAAATTCATAATTTTTTTTTTTTTTTCTACTCTAGTGTTGAGCTATGTAAAGAGATGGTGGATGGACTGAGAATAACCTTTGACTTCACACTTCCGTTAATTTTGCTCTATCCTTATGAACAAGCTCAATTTAAGAAGGTGACTTCATCAAAATTCTTTCTTCCCATCAAAGAAAACTCAACAAATACTAACAGGTAGGTTGGGTATATGGAGTTTAATACTGCTTATCTCCTGAGGAAGATGCAATAGAATGTGGTTATCTGTTCAGAATAGGATGATTTCTCACAGACTTTGACTTAGAAATTGTTTTGATAAAATCATAGAATGGTTTGGGTTGGAAGGGACCTTCGAGATCATCTAGTAATGTTGAACCATCATGAGATGAATCATCTAAAATGTTGAATTTTTCTGGGAATTCCTTGCCTGAATTCAGAATTCAGGTTCTGAATTTCTGTCTGGTTAACTTCAAAAGGAATTTGTACTGACTGGTGTAGAGTTACGCTGCAACTTGGAGGGAGTGGGGAAAGAATTTTACACTGAAGTGTAAATTTGTGTTTATTAGCTTTTAAATTTGAAAATAAATATGCTTCTGGAAAATGGTATTTAAAAGAAGGCCTCCCGACTTTGATAGTTATTGGGAGGAGACTGTCTAATTTGAATAAGTATTTAACAAGATCTGTGAAACTAGAAGGATCTCTTTTTGGGGAAGAGCCCTGATCTTTTCACTTCTGTAAACCTGCTTTTATTCCTAGAAATCAGGAGGAGCTTTCTCCAAGTCCTCCTCTGTTGAATCCACCAACACCTCAGTCGACTGACAGCCAGCCTACAACAGGGGAGCCGGCCACGCCAAAAAGACGAAAAGCTGAACCTGAAATTCTGCAGTCACTGAGGCGTTCTACACGCCATAGCTCTAACTGTGACAGGTTGTCGGAAAGCAGTGCTTCTCCACAACCTAAACGACGGCATCTTGAGACCCCAGCTTCTATGCCAAAGCTCTTCTTGCACCTGGAAAAAAGTAGGTTTTCCTCTTCAAATTATTTCTCTAAACAAGATATTAAGTCTTGCTCTTTTTTTACTGTCATCTGGATGGTGAACTGAATGATTGAAGTAGGGATTCATTACTTTTTGTATCAATTATTTATCTCTGAAGCTTATAGCAAAGACAGAAATACAAAGTAATATTCTGAGTACTCTGGTACTGGATTTCTCAACAGAATTCAAGGAGCTGCTTGCATTTATTCAAGGGATAGCATTTATTGAATTCCAGTGTATAAGACTTTAAACATTTTACCAGCAGGCCTTAGTTATATTTAATGGCTCATAGTTCCATATAACAGATAATAAAATTTATTTCTGATTTCTTTTGTTTTGTTTTTCTTTCCCTTTTGAAGAAACCCCTGTCCATAGTGGATCATCTTCACCTATAACTTTGACTCCTAGCAAAGAGGGGAGTGCGGTTTTTACTGGCTTTGAAGGTAGAAGAAACAACGAATTGAATGAGGTAACAGATTTTTGTGTTACTGTCCTATATTTAATGATTAAAGGTTTTGTTGACCTCAGAGTAGGGCTATGTAAGAAAAGGTTTTGTTTGTATTACTTATTTCATCTTTGATTTTGAAATTCTGCACAGACTAAATTATTTATGGTGCTGTGAAGATTTCATAACCGACATTCCATGTTTTATGTTTAGGTTTTGTCCTGGAAATTGATGCCAGAGAATTATCCACCAAGTGATCAACCACCACCTCCCTCATATATCTACGGATCTCAACATTTGCTACGGATGTTTGGTAAACAATGCAGAACTCTGTGCTGAATCAAAATTGTTTCATTTGTTGGGGTGTTTTTGAGGGGGAGTGGTGTTTGTGTGTTTTTTTCTTTTTTTTTTTTCTGTGACCATATCTGTGTGATTTTCTTTTTGCTCTATCACATTTAGTTTTATTCTGGAGAAGAATACATTTTAATCTGTTTAAAACTCTTAGGCTATTTGTAAACTTGCTTATCTCTTACTGGCTCTGTAAGCCTTCATTTAACAAAAGTAATACGCTATCAAACATCATTAAGCGAAGCAGCATTTACTTTCTTAGCATGTTTCTTTTTAATAAGATTTTGAAAGATCACCGAGTAACTTTCAAAGAAAAGTGGAGGCTGCAGGGAGAAGAAATTTTTATATTCTTCTTTTCTGTGTAGTGGATAAAAATAATTAGAAGTTGCTTTTAAAAGAACAGGTGTAAACGTTATTTTTCTTTTTTACAGTAAAGCTACCAGAAATACTGGGGAAGATGTGCTTTCCTGACAAAAACCTAAAGGCTTTAGTAAAACACTTCGAAATGTTTCTGAGGTAATGTGACGCAATGTACCACAGCAGTGTTTGCATTGATACATAGATCTAAGTGTCCTGGAATGATGAAGGGTTTTTAAAATAAGATGTTCCTCTTCTATAACTACAAGAAAACGATAAAATTAAGATAAGATTTTAATAACAATTTTAGTAAAGATTAACAAAATATTTTTTAATTCTGTAATTCAAATTGAAGGGAACCCAAACTTCCTACTTAAAGTTTTGATAAACACAGTGCTAGAGGACTGAAGTTTATAAGTTTATTTGCTAGCGTGTATAGAATGACAAATCTGACTTGATTAAGAAGCATGTTTTATGAAGAAATACAAACTCTACATTGTTATTTTTCAGACTATAATCTCAAAGACTAGCAGGGGGAGAAACTTCTGATTTAGAACATGTTTTTGATTGTGGTAGCTTGTTGTTGTTTTTGTTTTTTTTAAAAAGAAAAGTCTGTCCTAATTGAGCTTTAAACAGAAAGGTTTCTCTGTTAGGTGATGCAGTGGCTTGTAAAGGAACCCAAACTCTTTCTGACTGTGCTAGCTCTATGGCTGAAGTCAGTATGGTCACGCCTGCACCATAATCAGCTTTATCGGGTACTCTAGTTAATATCTCTGCTTGACATTGTAGTGGTAGTTAGATATCTAGTGTGGCACTGTTTTGTGCAGCATCAATACAGTGGAAAATAAATTTGCCAAGGAAAACTTACAGGAGAAAGTGTTGTACATGGTAAACTTGTGGAACAGACGTGGAATTCCTAACTTAATTTTGGTCAAAGGCTCTTTAAGTAGCCACATATTGAAAAGTAACATAATGTGGCACTAGCATATCAAAAGTCCTATTAGAGATCAGGGAGATGAAAGTTTTAACATGCTTATGTTAACATGTTTATGAACTGCTTAGGGATATGGTTTAATGGGGGATTAGGGTCGGTTGGACTGGATGATCTCTAAGGTCTTTTCCAGCCTAGAAATTCTATGAAGTTCTGTGCTTTTACTTTAATTGTTTATTGAAAATAAAAGGTGTCTCAAATGTCAAAGTTACTTCAATACAAAATTTTTCTCTTGAAGCATTCAAGTTTTACTGATTCCTTTTTACATTTCTATTTTGTCAGATCCTTATTAGCATCCAAAATATTTTTAAGTTAAAGAGGACAGCATTAGTGCTTATTGTTTGAAACCTGTTTTTGCTTGGAGTGAATTTTATTTAGGGTGCTTAGCTCCCTGTGGATCAAATCCGTTTTCATCAGACTTCTGCCTGTTCAGATTCTTCAGTGTTGGTCAGAGCAGGTCTCTGCTCTTTAGCATCTTAAAAGCAGTTTCTTCGTGCCCATTCTATGGATGAGCTGTGGTGGAGTGGAATAGAGGGAAGGAGGAAACATGTCTCCCACCCCCCATACAAGCAGGGAGGTGATTAAACAAAGTTCTAGTGGTAGTATCTATATTTGTCTTATTTTTCCATCTGACCATCTTGTTGAAATGTGTAGTCATCTATAAATAGAAATAAATAAAAAAAGCAGATATGTTTCCACATCAGCGTTTTTAGGTCAGCTAGAACTGTGCTTTTGAAGCAAATCTCTCGATAGTTCCCACTTACCAGGCTTTGTGTTGCATTGCAGAGTGCTCTGAGTACACAAGCTGGATTCCTTTTGGGAAACACTTCACCAGAAGTGTTCCAGTACTAGGGGGCCTTCAGTCCTCAACACCAGACTGACTAAAGCAAAATGAGCCCCCCAAGGCAAGCATAGTGTGGATATCACATGTCTGGTACAAAAAAATATTTGAGGGCTGTGTGTATTTTTTCAGGTGCTTTCTAAGCCAGTTCGTGTATGTTTTGTTGATACTGTTCTCAAGGTTTCTTTCCTATGCAGAAATAATAATTTCTATGGTTTTGTCAGCACTGGTCGAATTGAGAGCCTTCCTAAAAAAGCTTCCAAGTTACAGTTACTGCTGTAAGAAGCATTCAATCTTAGGTAGCTTTGTCATAAATAGTCTTCTTGGACTAGTTTCTTTACCAGATACGCTACTGTGTATTCAAATAGGTAACACAGAAACCAATGCAAATCATTAGATTTTTTTTTTAGTTATTTTTGCAACATGTATTCATGGAGCTTTAGGATATCTTTCATTTGGGTAGTATTTCTTTTTGTCCCATATGTCATTGAAAGTAGTCAAAAAAATGCATTTTCTAGAAACTTGTTCAGACTTGATTTTTATCACAGAAATACTTCTACATAATCTATTTCTCATCACAAGAGAAAACTTGAGACTGAGGTGACATCATCTGTACTAGTTCTTCAGTTTTCACATTCTGTCTTTCCTTTTTGGAAATGAAAGAATTAATGGATGTTTATTCAAAATATTTTCTATTAGTTCTGTTCTGGTTTACCTTTTGACAGGTAAGAACTATCCTACACAGTCTGTATGCATTGGATGATAGTGGCCAGTTTACTTAAGACTACCTAATTTCTTTTAGTGAATTGCTCTTGAGTGACAAGCTGAAGTACTCTCCTTTTCTTTATTTTTCTAATAGCAGACAAGGGATTGAAGCTGTCTGTTTGCATTAATAAAACTGTTTCTGAATCTTCTTTGAGTTCTAGACAGAGTAGTCCAAGCATAAGTAGCTTATGTAGTTTTATTTAAAACTTTCATGTGGTACACAGCTGATTTAGTTCTGGCATAGATACTGATTTAATTTTGTATTATTATTTTATGGCTAAAATTTACAGTTTCATTTAATATTTGTGCTATTAATCTCATGCATGCTGAGAAACTGAGACTTATTTAATACAACGCTTTGTCTAGAAGCTTGTTTTACTGAGTTTACTCAGTATGTGATAGATGCATTAAATTCACTTTGAGATGCTACATAGGTAATATTTTCTAGTCGTGCCCTCAGATTGCTGCTAGACAAGATTGATCTCAGTTTCCCAGACAACGTATTTTTTTAAGGGTTATATGAAATACATCTTTTTGAGTTTCATATTAAGTAGAAGCTGTACCCTTTGTGATTAGTGCAGCTTTCTACAATTGTGTGTAATGAAAATTTCTTTGTGGAGAACATAAAAGCTGATTTCTCAATCACAGAATCTGTAGTAGTAAAAAAAATTAGTTTCTCAAATTAAGTACAAAACTCTTACTCTTCAAGTTACTTAGCTCTGAAATAATTGGCAATACTTGCAGAAGAATAAGAGTCTGAAATGGATGTTAGTGACAAACTCGCCAGTTGGTTTCACTGCGTTGCACTTACAGTTTAGTCTTCAGGAGCAAGCAGTGGAAGGCAACACAGTAACTGGTGCCTACTGACTAGTAATCTTACTAGCAAAGGACCTCTGATTAAATCTTCCTGCCTGTTAACAGTTTTTGAGATAGAGTAAGTATTGCCTTTTAACTATTTCCATTATTTCAGCTGTATTTTAATAAAGTGCTGTATGTGCTGTATTTTACGACTTCTCTGTATTGTGAGGTGCCTAGCATGCCTCCAGAGGCTGCTTAAGTGATGAGAAATGATGCACAGCTCTGACTTAAACTGGTTTGAGATCAGAGAGGTTGCTTCTTGGGACTGTTGGCCAATAGGAGATACTTAAGAATTAGAAGAATGTAACATGTCTGGTTTTAGAATAGCAACACTCATCTTCACTGAGATAATTTCAGTTAATGGTGCTTACATTTTAGGAAAAAAGCAAAACAAAAGGGTACAGCACTTCAGAAAGTCATAGGTATTTTGACTTCCATGAAATACAGAAGAATGAGGAAGTGATGAAATATTTCTAAAATAATACTTTTAAAATTTCTAATACGCTTTTCTAGATGAGGCCAATATGTAGTATTTTCAGATTATTGAAAACTACATCCTTACTGGTCAAAGACTTCGGTTTTATTGAAAACCCACTGATGTTTCAAACTTAGTATATCCTCTAAGTTGTCTCTTTCAGTTTTAGATCTAATTTTTTCTTGATGTTTTACAGCCTACTTGTATCTATTGTGCTACTCTGTTCCACCAGAAGAAAAGTATTTTAATACTGTTGAGTATTAATGAGAAGGAAGCCAAATCAGAATGTGACCAAATTAGAGGGCTGTGATAATAAAATCTGTATATAGAAAGATGACAAGTTGTTTGAAGTAACCTTAAGAAATAGATATCTGATTTTGATAGCACAACACTTTCTGAGTGTAATTATTCTGTGTAACTGCAGTGGGGAATTATGACCACTAGTCTGTGCTAATGTGCAATTAATGAGAGATTTTTAGTGACTTTCTGAGAACGAAAAAATGAAGCATTGCACATGGTGAGTGGAATAGAAAACATCTTTATTTAGGTGAAGTTGCTTGTGACAGAGTTCCTGCTCATTGTGACTTAATAAAGTTGCAAGAGAGCAACCGATTAAAAATAACTTTTTGAAAGATCATGAAAAATGCAATTCTGCTACTGTTTATTAGATTGATTAGGGCTTTTCTGTTTGCCTCTCAATTTCAGGATTAACCAGTTGCTTGACAAAAAGTACCTGTGCAGCATAGCAGTTACGACATGCTAGAAAACTATTGGAGCTCCAAAAAATTGGAGCCTAAATGTGAGAAAATCCAGGATCTGAGTGTCAATGGGCAGGAGTGGATTTAGAGGCACAAAAAGATAAAGGAACTTTTTTCAAGTTTTGAAACACTTTGAAATGAAGGAATTCTACTTGCACAGTTAATGTATATGCCTTATTTTAGGGCGCTGTTACTGTTGTGTTTGAGCTTTGCTGTATTCATTGAATGGGCAGAAAGGCAACGGCCATTTTGGGTCCTCTGAAACTTTCGGCAGCGTTATTATGTTGAAAGCTTCTTAGTGAATACCTAGTGTTGTACAGGTTCTTATTTTCAGTAGGCTTTTGTTGTCTGGTTGGTCTGCAGAATCTGCTCATGTGTGCTTACTGTTCTTGACTAGGGTTGATCGCTTTGCCAAAAATACTTCCTGAAACTGTGCCATGCAAATTGCTTCTCTTCCTTCTGTTTACCAAATCAT